CTGCAACGTGTTGCTGCACGTTTTTGAACTAAACACTTTTAACTCACGCATTTGTAAGAAATATTTACGTTATTAATTGTATTTTAATTCATTTTTAGAATTGTATTTTTGTGTTTCTTACTTTTATTTAAAATGAGTTTTGCATATTTATGTTACTAGCAATTTATTTTACATGAATGTTTGAGGTTATACATTCATGTAAAATAAATTGCTAATAACATAAATATGAAAAACTCATTGTAAATAAAATCATCATCATCGTATTGCTTGAAGTTGTCTGTAAGTAAAATTTTATTTTTACACATTCTAAATGAAAAGTTGCTGATTACTGTTAACTTCGGAGTAACATTTGACTAAATATCATTAATTCCAGCTATAACAGCTAATAGGAACATTACAATTATTGTCAAGCCTAAATTTATACATCACAAACACTTTAAAATACATCAGATTTGCGTTCTGCGTTAATGTCATGCGGTATATATTGTATTAATGAATTTTGCTCTCGAATCACTGCCTCAAAGCTAAATGAATTACCATTCCTTGTTACCGTAATAACAAGGAAATATAATTCCTTTAGACTTTTGCTTGCAGCATAGCACTGAAATCTAAGTGTATAGGATGACCCAAAAGTCCGTTTACGTTTGAAAATTCAATAACTAATGGATAATATATGTAGAGATGTAAGATTTGACGCACATGCTTAAAATGACATAGGGTTGTATTAAAAGAAAAAAAAATTAAAAAAAGGCAAACATATGGCCCGCGGTAGCAAAATGTTAGTGACGCTGCATCTCAGCAGTCCCCACCATGCACCTTCTTTCCATGTTCTGGTTCTTATTTCAATGTTCCTCGTTTCGTGGCCAATCCCCGGAGGACACAGTACTAAGCTCTTTAATTATGTTTATTCTTGTATTTATTTTTAATTCCATCGACGGGATCCAACAGGCTGAAAAGCACCTAACCTAGTGGGCCAGCCGTTTCGTCGATGGTGAGAAGAAAAGAAAATGACGCTGCATGAGAATCGTGTATGAAATGAGCTATGGTGTGAGAAACAGTAATAGCCCCTTCATAACTTTGTCACTTTTCTGTCCTCGCCTCCAGATGTTGGTCACGGTGTGATGTGCATCGATCGTGATCGGACACTTTTTCTTCGAAGAAAGGCGTGGTTCTGCTCTTCAAACTGTCAGTGTGACATGTGCGAGGTACGTAGATACGTTACAGAATTGCATCATCCCTGGTCTGGCTGATAAACATCTGTTGGAAGGTATGACTTTTAGGCAGGATGGCGCTCTACTCCATATTGCTACACGTGTGAAAGATCTCTTGCACACATCGTTTAGTGAGGATCACGTGCTGTGCCGCCACTTCCGTCCTGCTTAGCCTCTCAAGTCCCCAGATCTCAACCGTGTGATTATGTTTTGTGGGGTCAACTGAAATCTCAAGTGTACCGAGATCGTCTGACCTCATTAGGGATTCTAAAAGACAACATTCCACGAACATTATCTCACCATATCTACAGATATGCTGTACAGTGCTGTTCACAACATTGTCCCTCGACTACAGGTATTGTTGATGAACGACAGCCAGCAAGTTGAACATTTATTGAAAAGAACGTAGTCTTTGTTAAAAGTCAATTGTTATCACAATTATTGCTTTTGTTATCATATGAAGTGCCACCTGTTGGCCGTTTTAAGCATTTTCTTTTGCTTTCCACCCAGCCATACTTCTACTTACATGATTGTGGACTCTTTCCATTACTTCCATTCCATTGTAGATCGCAAACAGAATACTGAGATTTCAAGTGATAATTATCTAATTCTTATCAGACATATTTTATGTTTTTTTTTATCATAAAACTTTAAAATGGGAGAATTTAAAGTTATAATCTTTGGTATCTTATAAAGTTTCTTTAAAGAAAATCAAATGTCTCATAAGTGAATGGGATAATACCAATTTAAGTTGAAAAAAATAGCAAAAAGAAAAATATAACCTTCTTCAATTTTGCTATACCTCCATAATTTACTCTGAGCACAACACACAAAATCCTGGTTTTAATATAATATCCAATTTCGAAATTTATTAGCAAACATTATAATAAATAATATTCTCCTTTGGATTCAGAAACCTAGTTCATACATTTGTCATTTTATCATTAGCTTCTGTTTCACAATATCGTTACAAAATCAAGTATTGATACTGCTAGGAGTTTTTATATTTATTAGAGGGTTTTATTTTGTTTTCAGCTTTTCTTTTACAAGCGAGATCCAATAGCGGCGAGCGGTGAAATCGCTAAACGCTGATAGTTCGACCTGGGTTGAAATTCTAAGGGTTTGGTTGCTTGGGAGATTTCATGATTTGTTTCACTTTAAAATTGTTTTAAATTTAAGTCATGAAAATTTAAAAGTTATGAAACTTAAATTTAAAAACTTATTTTAAAGCAAATATGAGAGAAATTCTGTTAAAAAAAATCTAATAAAATGGCAAATCTCTTTGGTAGATTCCTTTGCATGCTTTGCTGTACGTCATGCAATTCTTTAACATTTGACCCGAAATTCTCATTCAAGATGATATCAGAGGATTTACTTTACCATTTAAGTACAAGATTTGCTGACAAGCATTCGGAACTATTTTGGATTATCGGATACATTCTTCATACTTTTATCAAAATGAGAAACATTTCCTACTGTGCATATTTTATATTTATCATACAACTGATGGGAACATGACACCGCATATCATGCGTAAGAAAACCATGGAAAATATTTTCTGGAAAATTCAAATTTCGTTTGTTTTGGCAAAATATTTTCGTTAGATGACATCTAGTGTACATTCAAAATTCTTAGCATCGCCAACCCTGTATAATGAAATGAATCTATTTGAGTGAAACAGTATTTTCCAATCACTTTTGTCCACATGTTTGTTGCATGATCATCCAAATAAATGGATTATATATTATTATTTATTATTATTAGAAAAATGTTCTGTCAAACATTTCTTTTCAATAAACATCCACCAGTGGCCGAGAGGTCGCTAATCTTTAGTATATCAGTCCGTGTCAAACACTGGCAAGCGACCTGGCTGCATAGGTATTTTCGGGTGTTTTCCTATGTAAACACAGGTTTACAGCCTGTTGAAAAACAATGTCCAAGCTGAACTCTAGACGTATGTACAAAACCTTCAGAATGAGATGTTTATTTTGGAAATATGAAATTACTGTATCAGGGTTTTCTTTTATCTTCCTGATGAGAGATTCGTATGTTTGATTATGGGAAACCACTCCCAGACGCATATTTCACAAGTGCACATCTGTGTAGCCACCGAAGGAGTGGCTTCTAGGATGGACCAATGAGCATCCAGTAATATTTCTATCATGTCACATGACCTTTCGCACGCTTTAAGATTTAAGCAAGATGTTTGAAAATATTTTGCCACGCAATTTTCTGTACAAATTTCTGCACATGGTCTATTTCTTCTGAAAATTTTCATTACGGAGTTAGATCATATATAAGCAATTAGAAAGATTTCACTACCTGGTTGAAAGAATTTGAAATAAATCCAAACACATGTTGGATACTCAGCAAAAATATTCATCCGAAATATTACTTCATAAATGATAAATAAGACAAAATAAATATGTGATACACATCTGAGCCCAAATGCCATCCTTACATAAAATTTTGCATATGAGAAAAATATTTGCACCAGTTATATATGTAAATAGAAGTCAGCACTTTTTATTGCAGTCTATATGAAAACGATGTTCTACACTAATAGTCAATGCATAATTTTTATTCAGAGTTTTATTCATTCATTCACTTCACTAATTTGCATTTAGTGTGTTAAGTTTCACATTTTATAACTGCTCACTCTTAAACATACAGAATGAATTTATCTATTCACAACGAATATATTCAATTTATTCAAATATAAATTTTAATGTTAACAATGGATATAATCAAATCATACACAACATGTATTCTGAATCTTACACTTTCAAAATCAAAAGATGCAAGCACTGAAATAAGAAAGCACTAGATTCATTGTAACACTTCCAGTCCTTCTCAGTTCAATAAAAAATAAAAATTAAAAAAAAAAAAACTATACACATGAATGAATTCTCTTAATCCACATTTGTTAGTAAATGCATAATATTCGATGATAATTGCAGCTTGAGTCATTTTCTCGATGTAAAAAGCTATAATATGCCGTGAACATAAATCCAAATATCAATGAGTGATAAAAATCGTGAAAGTGAAATGTCAGCGATTAATTAAACTCATAAAACGAAAGCACTGTGAGATTTTCTACTATTACGCAATACAATTGTACTGCGAAACAAATGCAAACAACATACGCTCACATGCACGAAGATTTAGCGGCACAAGAGCAATACAAGCTCATTGGTCCATTTTCGAAACCCCTCCCTCAGTGGCTACGCTGATGTGCACTTGTGAAATATGCCTCCCGGACTATCTGTTATACTGGTTATAACCAGTGTGAGATATCGAGACCATCTGTCACACTGGTTATAACCAGTGTGAGATATCGTGACGAGATCCTTGTTTAATATATCCGCCCGTATGCAGCTGCTATTGGTCCTGGATTTCTCCTAATGGACGAAAATGTGCCACGGCACCGAGATTGGGTTGCTGAAGACTATCTTGAGGGTCACGGTATGGAGCGGATGGAATGGCCCCGGACCTGAGTCCGATAGCTACTACCGAGTCCTCCTCAAGCTCGTTAGATAAGCTTGAACAAAGATTACTCCGTATCTGCTCATTGCTTCCCATTTCAGTGACCGAAAACTTACCTGACAGCATGCAGCGTCATTGCCGCTAATGTATTTCAGTTAGGGGTAGACACATAACTTATTAGAAACCCATTATTGTAATGTTAACACCCTAAGTTTCCTCAAAAATCTGTGATGTCCTGTTTCTCCAAGACTGGATTTCTCTGCCAAGAGTGCAATTTTTAGTTGCAATTCATGTTCGTGTTGAACTTTAGACATACACAAATGCGACTTCTATGTCGCATTTGTGTATGTCAATTAAAAACAGGAGATAACTTAACAGTTGTAGCCATGAGCTGATATACGCTGGATTGTATCCTCACATTTAGATTGTATTTCCAGCTCCGAAAAGGAAATATTTAGAAAATAATCTTTGACATAGATTACTGTGTGAACAAGTGTTGTAAGACAATGGAGAATTTCTTTTCTAGGAAATTACAGCATAGAGAGAGGAAAGCATCAAAAATGTGTATTTAAATTCCATGCCTGTCTGCAATAAAAGCGACGGAGAGAGCTCGCAATAACATTTTCTTACATATAAACAATAAATTTAAATTGATAAAAACACGAAATGGTTAGGCAGTAGGAACTAGTTATGTCTTAATTCAACTTCAAACATTATAAGCCCTTATTCGCGTAATATACAGAGACTCCTGCAGAATACTTCGCAGTATATATACAGTAATATCCCAATCTGGTTATGATGATTCGCTTGTAGTATGCAATTTCATACATTGCAACTGAATACTAGTATCTCTAACTTGATATCTTGTCCAGACTTGCAGATCATGATATTGTATGATAGCCATAACAGACTTGTCATCACGTTCATTATACCTTAAACAGTTAATAGAGATAGACGAGATACATCATTAGACGGTTCCGTGTAACCAATCAATCCTTTCGCTCCTGATGTCTTTATAGAATACGATGATAATCATTCCAATCTAAAGTGGCTAGATACTTTCAACCATTTCGTTAAATTTACAGGTAGTATTTATAAGATTATGGAGCGCACAAATTCTAGTTCACATTATAGTATTTTTACATGGTTACCTCCACAGATTGTTGGCAAAGTTTCATCCACACAATGACATTCGCTAACTAGAAACGAAAACTAAAATGAAAAAGAATCTGATATTTTTTGTTTCTACCGTTCCTAGAAGTGGAAAATAAAGATAATTTACTGTTAAAAAACATAGACTGCACCACAAGCAGCCGAGCGGTAAGTTCGGTTCCCGTCTAACAGACTGACTGCGTTGGCATTTTCGTGGCTTTCTCGATCTCGAGGATAAAAACCCGTTTTCCTTAAACGTTTCTCCACGGAGCATCCCTTCTTTTGGCAGGTACTGTAGTGTGCATCGTCGAAATCAAATAAATAAAAAAGAATATAATGTGAGTGCCACGTAACTTCTTTGTACTGACTATGAAATTATGCACACATTTTCCTCCACTTCATTTAAACGTATTTTTTCCAATTATTCTAACTTTATTAACTGATTCTTCAAGAAAAGTTGAAATGACATCAAAAACTGCAAATTTTGGAATTAAGTATCTTGGATTATTTTTGTCGCACGGTAATCAGACTTCTTATAATTTAATTTTTTTTTTCATAACGAATAAAAAATTGTCCCAAACAGAAGTACAGCAACTGTATATTAAAAGTTAATTTTATTTGCGGAAAAAACGTTTTTTCTTATTTTTGATAATCTGACATTGCCAAAACACACATTTTCGTCATTTAAAACATTTCTAAACTCCACGTATATGACTACGACCAGCGATTGCAAAAATAAAGGCCGGGTAAGAACTTTTAATTCGGGTAGGAGTGGATAGGTATATATATATATATATATATATATATATATATATATATAATATACCTATCCACACACATATATATATATATATATATATGTGGATACCTATCCACATACCTATCCACATATATATATATGTATATATTTTTCATAAGAATAAATTGAATTTAATTAAAAAAATTAAATTTAAATACAAATTTAATTAAATATTCTTTGCGCCATTGGCCATTGCTGCAAGGAATAAAATTTAAATTTAAAAAAATTTAAATTTAATTCTTAACAAATACATATAAAAGTGAAAAAGCAAATTTAAATCCTAAACAAAGAAAAAAAAATAAAATAAAATAATTAAAAAAAAATGTGCAAACATATAAAAGATTTAATACTCGAACTAATCTACAATATCATTTAAATTAAGAAGCATAAGCAAATCAAGTGCAAAATCAATCCATGAAAAGAAATTTACTAATTTAATAAATTTAAATTAAATTAAACATTTAAAAAAAAAGGCATATGTGAATGACCGTTGAGTAGGCAGGACACAGACTTATCAAGAGGAAGTTGCCTCCAAACCTAACTCTCCAATTATTCAATTATTCAATTCGTATTTCGTCATTCATGCAGGCAAGGGTAAAAGTCAAAACCAAAAGTAATTCAAATAAAGTGGTTCCCTTAGAAATTAACATTTAAGAATTAAAGTTCAAAAAGGAAAATACTAATGAAGTCTTTTGAGAAACAAGCAAGTAAAGTCAAGAATTAAACTTTTTTTTCAAAAAATAAATTTTTAAAAAATTAATTTTTTATAAAAAAATAATAAAAAAATAATCTAGAAATTAATGTATTTTAGAAACTCTTGTCTAAAGAAACCTACCCTACACGAATATGCATATCAATCAATAAAAAGAAACTAAAAAAGAACTAGACATAATCCATATAAACCAATAAGAAACAAAACTAATTCATAATTTTTAAAAAACAAATATATATTTAAAAATATAATTTCATGTTAGAAAATGCTTAGATACTACATAAAAATTTTGAAAAATACTTAAAGCAAGTAAATAGTAAGTTTTAATTCTAACTTACCTACTATATGAGTGTTGGGGGTCTGCAAAAGTGTTGTAAAAGAGAAGAAATGTTCTTCAAATTATATAGATGACGCTTATGTAGGTAAAGTTGAGTGTCAAGCTGCTATATTTGTAATAGTAATTTTCTTTTTGTAAACATTAATATTAAAAATTAAATTAAATTAAATTAAAAATTAAAAATCCTAAAGGTAGTAATTATCAATTTTTTAGGGAGTTAAGAACTGAGCCAATCAAGAGATGCAAGTTTGCTTGAAGAAAAATAAAGTGAAGTGGTATTGTGAATAAAATGTAAACTGTTTGTAATGTGAAATGTGTGTTCTGTTGAAAAAAGTGTGTAAAAATTGTTAAAAAAAAACCGTTAAGTGAAAAATTTTTTTTGTGTGAAAAATTGCAAAAAAATTAAAGTGATTAAGAAACTAATAATGTTTTGATATTAAAGTTTTAAAGTAGTAAAATTTCCCAAAATTTTTTGAAAAGAAGTCCTTAAAAAAACCTCTAAAAATTCAAGAAATTTCTCAAAAAATTACTTTAGGAAGTTAATTAAAACTTAAATTTAATGAAAGAAAATATTAAAAGTTTAATGAACTTGTTTTCAGTTGGTATATCAAAACTTAACTAAATACTGGCTAAACTATGGAAAATTAGAAGAAGATTAAAATCTTCACTCAATTCGGGCTATAATTAAGACTTTTGAAAAGAGTTGGCCCTTTATTAGTAAAAGGAAAGAATCCAGTATTGATTAAATATACATATTTACAAAATATTAACAATAATTTATCTACTCTTTTATATCCTTCATTACCCTCCAGCTAAGGTTTAAGGTAATGTTATCATATCCAAAAGAGCCAAAAAATTATAAAGTCAAGGCCTGCCTTTTTAATATATAAATTAATAAATTTTGGTGGTACTTGGTTATCAACTTGTACATTAATTAGCTTTATTATTTCTTCCTTTAAATCGTCTATTTCAGTACATATATTTTTTATTCTGATAATTTGGCTATGAAACATGTTTTCTATTACTTTTCTAGAGATATTAGAGTTCCAATTAATTAGTTTAATAGTAGGAAAATGGAAATTCTTTCTTTTATCAAATAATTTAATTTTGCTGTGTTTAATAATTTGCAAGTCTAGGAATTCAATAGTATCTTGATTCGTATTCGTTTTATTAAGTGTTAAACTATTTGTAAATTTTGAATTGCTCAAAAGTAGAATTATTATTGAAAGTTATAATATCATCTATGTATCTAAAAGTATGAGCAAATAGCTTTAATTCATTTATATTTAAATTTAGTTGGAATTTATATTCAAAAGTAAAAAGAAATAGGTTACAAATTTGTGTAGAACTGTTTGCTCTCATAGGAATTCCTCTAAATTGCTGAAAGATTTTATTATTGAATTTAATGTAGTTATTAAATAATGCACAATTCAGATAAGTATTCCATCTTTCAATACAAAGGATGTCATGTATGTCAGGTAAAAGTTGTGGGAGTTGCATTAAACTAGTAAAAATTTCTTCTAATGGTAGAGAAGTATAAAGGTTTTCAAAGTCGTAGCAGTTAATGTTCTTGATTGTTAAACTTTTAAAACTACTGAGAACTGGAGCATTATTATAAATAATCCTACTATAATTGTGTTGTTTGTTAACGAGATGTTGGATTAAATTACATATTTTTTAAGTATAATTGCAAATATGTAATCTATATTCTTTTTATAATTATTTGTACCATCAGCAATAAATCTAAATTTGAGTGGTGATTTATGAAACTTTGGTAGAGCATATAGATTTGCTAATCTATTGTATTTAGATGGTTGTGAAATTTGCAGTTTCTTATGAAATGCTTTTAGCTTTTTTGCAATAACATTTTCTTGTAGATTGGGGAGTTTGTAAGTAATGGCATTATTAAGTTCAGTATTAATTAATGAGACATAAAAAATTTTCATATTATGCTAAAGTTATTATTGGCTTTGTCAATTTTGGTAATTATAAACTTTTGTTTTAAATCCTGTAAAAGATGTATGAGAATATTCCACTGTAAATTGCTATTAAATTCAATTCTTCAAATTTTTTGTTTGAATTCTTCTAATACTGCATATTTCCATGCCATAAAGGTAGAATTTGGAATATTTAATTTGAAACTAGTTTTAACTATAAATTCGTCTATATTTTTTACGAAACTTTTAAAACTGTGATGTTTGTTAATTTTTAGTACTGGTCTAAATTTGGTACCTTTTTCCATTAAAATTCTTAAATGTTGGTTTTGAACTATTGCTAAATTGCCTGTTATAATATGTTGATGAAATTTATCTATGGAATCTTTGTATTGAAGCTCTTTACAGTATCAATGGGCTGTAGTAGCTAATTCCTGGTGGTTAA